TATTAGGGCAGAAAAGATAGATTAAAACTGACTTAATAATCTAACTGAAAATATAAGTGAACAGTAGCCTAGCACTGCCGAGAGTGATGTTTTTAAAGTACTTAGATCCACTCAGTTACATCAAACACAATTTTTTTTGTATGTCAATATCTAGCCATTACTCTTGATAGCTTGGTGGGCAATTCCCATCTAAACACATTTTGTTTACCTTCACAATCTTGATGAGCGTCTTCAGTTGGTAAATATGAAGCTGAAGGTCTAATCTATCAGCCAACCAGACACAAATGACTTTCATGGAGCTGCTGTACCATTGCTGGAAAGAAGGATGGGGCAGAGGGGAGGAGAACAAAACAGAGAAACAGCCTCTGCAGTATTCATGTAACAGATTCGGTAATGAGGGGGTAATGACACACTCTGCAATGACCACAGATCAGCACTTGAAGTCAATAATGCTATAATTTCCTATTAACAGAATTGTATGTTTTGCTGGAAAATCTGCTAAGTTGACCTAGGCTGTTCTCTCCATGAATTAACATGAGTCTTTCAGCTGTAACATATTCATGGGAAACCGTGTTCCTGCGCTCGCAGCCTGGTGGCATGCTTTGTGATCTGTAGGTAACAATGGGCACTAAATACATGTTATGGGACTGAATGGACTCCCAGGCAGCAGGAAAAAGCAGGTGAATTATTTTTGAAGGGAAATTTCTTATTAGCCTGTACGTTATGTAAAAATCAAACAGTAGACGCGTCATGCCATGACACATGCAGTCAATACCTAGAAATAACCTGTTACAGAAGCGATGGGAAAGCATTACCACGGCTTACTAGCCAGAGATCCTCAATCACACCCTTATCTACTGTTGGTTGTGAACTATTTGTCAAGATGTTTGAAACCCACCTAAAATAAAGATTTGGGACCTCAGGAGGGAATTTTATCAGGATGGAATTGCTGTGTCTAAAGAATCAAGAAGAAGAGGTCAGTTGACTAAATCACAAAAGAATTTGTTTCATTGGAGGGTTCGTATTTTTTCCTCTTTATTACCACTCTCTTGAGGGGAAAAATCAAAATGCTTCTCTAATGTAATTTCCTGCTCCTATGTAATGTCTAGGAGAATAGTAAAATAAGATCCTATGTGTTTTGTTTTTAAAAGGCAATCTACCACTAGTAGTGACATTTTAAGGGATTCGCTACTACATGCTAGAGCTAGGTTTAGGTAATACTGTAAAAATGATAATGCTGCTCATCCAGGTAACTGTAAGAAATAGCAAAGTCCATTCAGCACTTAGGAAATGACGGGAGTTTTTGAAAGAGAAGGGATTTTGTGTCTTGTTTGTATACAGAAATACAGCGACACATATAGATCACGTACGTGTGGTGCATGTGTGCTTAGGTATTCAAACACAAGAGAAAAATCTTAAAAAATATTTTTCTTCCATAATAAAGTAGTAAATTCCATTGCTAAGAGAAATCTTATGTGATACAAGTCTGAAATTCATCTGGACTTGTACTTATTAACATTGTTCTGATAAAATTTAGTATAAGAAATGGTATTTTAAGCATACATTAAACATGAATCAGTTTCACATTTCACTAGACATATTTCTATTAATTTGTTAGTACACTGAACATACATGCATAAAATGAGATAGGTAATTAAAATGAATAACTGATTTGCTAAATATTATGATAGCACATAGATGAATGAAAATTTCAGGTTTTTAAAATGTGAGATAGGCTATGATTCAAAAAAATGTTATTCATGTACCTGATTTTGCTCTTTCCTAATGATTGTTTTCTTCATTTTCCAGACATTATAAAAGTATCAGAAATAAGTTTTAAGAAAATAAGATACACCCTAAATTCTTAAAAAATATAAACTGCTAATGAATTCAGTACTTCAGCTGCCAGTAATTTCCAACAGTATTTAAATCCTATACTTCTTTATTTCAAATTATTTACAGCCTCAACATCTTGAGTTCTATTTTAACACCGGTAAACACTCTCAGGTATTGGCGATAGTGAATATGAGATACTAAATTAAGACTCTCACCCCTACACCAGGCTCCAGATAATTTGAAAGCTAAAACGTAGTCATAATGGTTATGACTCTTAAACTATAGTCCTTCTGTAAGGGATAATATTTTTTTTGTTGGGGGGAACAAAATATGATATATGAAGTCTAGCATAACATACTAGTTAATCTGTCTGTTAGACTGTAAAGTTACTATATCTATGGTAAGTTGTATGAATTTGAGGGAAATGAAAACCTTTCTTAAAATTTCTCCACCATATGTACCTTTATGTTTTTAAAAAAATCCTTACATAATTTAGAGTTAACTCATTTTCCCATTACACATAAGTGATACTTATGATTAAGTGATAATCAAAAGGATATCTAATGTAACACAGACATTTATTACTAATAGCACTTCTTTAACACAATGCCAAAATTGTAATTTTAGAGATAAACAAGTTGGGAATAAAATGATCGGAAGTTAACCAAAAAACAGAGAAGAAAAGAGAACCATTTGTAAAGTAAAAAGCTTCAGCTACTTTACCATCATCTTAGTTTTAAAGGCAACCAATTACTTGATAAGGAAAATTCTATAAGAAAAATTATCCTTTTCAGATAAAAATGCATATTTTTTGGTACCCAAGTCAAAGCATTTTGAAGATTTTTTCAGCTAAATCAAGCAATTAAGAGAAAGCAGCACTTCAGCGTAGAGTTTCTGTTGCTACTAACAACAAGCTAACAACAAAAAACGCACTAGGACTGCTTCTTTCTGTATATGGTGAAGTAGACACAGAAACACACACACTCCAAGCAAACAAATAAGCAAACCAACAAAACCGCCAAACAGAAATCTCCAGCATTTTCCTATTGCTGGTGCTGGAATTGATATGTTCCTCTTTTGGGGGCTGGAATATAGTAAGTCCCGTTTTTTTCATCTTGACACAAATTTCAAAGGTAGGTTAGCTTCATTTTCCCCCACCCCAAACAAAACCAACACCCCCCAATGCAAACAAACAACAAAAAAAGAAACATTCAAAAAGGGTGAATGTGCAGTAAAGTCTGAACGTTAGCAAATGTCCTTTCATTTTGGAAAAGTTAATTTTCTAAAACAATTTGATTGACTCTTCACTTTTTCCCTTCAGGGTATGACAGGGAAGGGGCTCTGCAGTTCGCACTGAAGTCATGGGTATGGCATTACTGCTTCCTTCTTTGCTTTGGCCTGCTTAGGAGGAGAGCAGTAAGTGTATATTCTACATTTTTTTTTCTACATGAATCCATGACAGTAGCCTACCACTTTAACAAAAAATGTGTTTTTTTTTTTTTTTTCTTTCTGTGGTTCATTCAACTCCTGTAAGGGCATGCATTACTCACTTCATTTTCTTGAGATATTTCTTTTAAAGCAAAAATAAAAGAAGAGGAAAGGCTAGGGTTGACTCTGTGAGACCCCTGTATTTATTCACACTTATTGTGCATGACTGTAGACTGGTAAATCATATTAGCAGCCCGTCTCCCCATCAAGCTGCTACTTGCTTTCCAGCCCTGGGAAGGTTCAACAAATCAACAGGAGCACGGAAAACAGAACATCAGTCTAATCTAGTGTTTAAGGTGAAGTTTTCAAACCCAATCTAAGAAGATCTTTAGAGCAAGCAACAAGCTGAAGGGCTCAGAAGGTGGTATTGACAATGAAAGAGTGTTGAAATATTGAGAAGCGCAGCACTTGTGCATTTTTAATAACAAGAGGGTCAACAAGGACACAGCCCCCTCAGTGCCAGGAGTTGCCACTGACTATGGAAATTGCCACACCAGGGCTATAAACGCTTGCAGTTCATCAGCTTTCTTAAACAGTTCATCAGCTTTCTTAAACACCCTGAACCCCCTCAGTGGACCTTTAGTCTTGAATTAACAAACCAAAGCAATGAAAGAGGGTGCAGTCTGAATGGCTGGCATTGATCCCCAACTGTGTCAGCACTGCTACAGGCCCTGAAAAACTCTCTCCATTGTCAATAGAAATTGACAAACCTCCTCTCCTAAATAGTGCAGCTGAGCCGGGCGGGATCCATGCAGCTGTAAAGGGCTCTGCTCTTGGGGCCAGGGAGCACTCACAATGGAACAAGCATGAGCTCTTTGTCAGTCCCAGACTCGGCAATTTTCTAACAAGGATTAAAGTTGTTTCTCCGCGGTGCTGGTGAAAAGAGATTTAGCAACATACCGTGCTTTCTTCATGCAAGTTAAAGAGAAGTAGTTAAGGAATTTCATTATTCTGTTGACCAGGGGAAATATAAAACAAATATATTAAACATGCACAACTCTCTTTTCTGCCTAATTTGTAATGTTTTTTGAGGATGAGTCAATTAAGTAAAACACTCTCTGCCTGGAAACGAGCACTTCACATTTATTTTGGAAATTTTATTTTTAAAAAGTCCAGCTGCTGGCCACCTGGAATGAGGTCTCAATACATACTAATGCACAATGCCTTTAGACCCTCTGAGGCTGATATTCCTAAATCTGAATCACGAGACCACATAGGGTTTATATATCACAGCTGCTTCGAGCAAATGATTTCTGTCAGAATGTGGCTTCTGATGATGATGGCAAAGCAGAAATAGCTGCTTTGCTAGGAACAAATCTGTGATAAATTTTCTGCTTAAGTGTTTAGCTTTTTATTGATTATGAATTGGTACAACTAGTTGATATATTTTCATTCTTCTCCAGCTATGCTCAACCCAATAGGTGAACAACAGAAAAAAACAAAACAAAACAAAAAACAATCCAACACTTTTTAGTGCACTGAGATCTGGAATGGCTAAATTTCCACAGTAGGTATGTATTTCTTCATTTATTTCAAGGGAAGCTGTCGTTTCATAAGTGCTGAGTCACCAAGCTGAAGTAAAATACCATCTAGAAAATGTCATTTTAGGAAACTATCTTTCAAATGCTAAGTTGAATTGAATAAAAGAACAAATAACATTTTTGCAATGCTGAAGGTTTTGATAAGTTTGATAAATATAAGACATTCTTTAGGATCATTTTGTAGCTTTGGAGAGTGACAAAATATTTAGAAACATTAATGCCCTACGGTTTGACCGGTATATTAAAAAGTAAACATAAATGCTTCATTGTACATTGTGTGTTCCTTTTGTCAACAGCGCATTTCATATAACTAAATTCGTGGCCAGTCACTTCCCATTTCCAAACACTAAAACGCAAATTTCATATTAATGGTAAATTTGAAACAGTAACACCAACATTCCCCCCCAGCCCCACCCCTGCATGAGGCATCTCACTGAAACGATGCTATGTGTTTCCACAAAACAGACTCCTGAGACACAAGCATCTATAAAGTTTTAATTGTGAATTTTTGTTGGCTTGGAATAGGAGTAAGGGCTACAGTTCAGGAAAACTGAAACCAGTCTATTATGGTTAAAAATATAGGAAGTGTTCAACTCAACCTACACCTATCTACATTCCCAGCTAGACCCAGAGCCATTCATGGGGGAAAGATAGAGACCTGCCTCTGAACATGGCCGCTGAGGGCTGGCTGTCCACACACCGGAGGACATCAATACAGAAGCCCAGAAGACAGAAGGGCCAACACCTTTTATGCTATTTGCCTGATTGAGCCCGTCACAGCTTCCTTTTTATGTCTCAGTTTCCTCCTCTGTCATATGAAGGATAAGATTATGTGAATCTAGCTTTTAATAAGATTCTGATGTTCTCCAGAAATACTATATTAGATTTGATTATCAGAATAAAGGGCATGATTAGAACCAATACAGCTTGTGATTCTTGTAAGAATGAACTGCAGGGAAAAGCCAAATTATCACACCTTTTCCCTTTTATATGGTGCTTAAATACAGCTTTATTCTTTAAAAAAAAAAAAAAATGCAAGTCTAGAGTTCCAGAACCTTCTATCACCTGTTATTTTTGTCTGTTTTTAACTTACTTATTTTGGTCTTTTTTTTTAGATTTTATTTATTTATTTGACAGAGAGAGAGAGAGAGAGAGCGCGCACAAGCAGGGGGAGCAGCAGGCAGAGGGAGAAGGGGAAGCAGACTTCCCATGGAGCAGGGAGCCCCATGTGGGACTCGATCCCAGGACCCTGGGGATCATGACCTGAGCTGAAGGCAGACGCTTAATCAACTGAGCCACCCAGGTGCCCTCATTTTGGCCTTTAAATGAAGCACAAACATATTATAAAAATGAAACAATCAGGTGTCATGAGGAATGAATGAGATTTCTAACGAATTGTCAGGTGCAGTTATTCATGTCTGTTATTTTTATGGATTCTGATTACAAAGGCATCTGATATATTTGTTAAGTCTTCCCTGGGAAATTTAAGTGCATCAGTTAAAATTTCATTTAATTCTTACAACAACCAGGGGTGCCCGGGTGGCTCAGTTGGTTAAGTGTCTGCCTTTGGCTCAGGTCATTATCCCGGGGTCCTGGGATCGAGCCCTGCATCAGGCTCCCTGCTCAGCGGGGAGCCTGCCTCTCCCTCTCCCCCGGCTCGTGTTCTCTCTCTCTTTCTCAAATAAATAAATAAAATCTTAAAAAAAAATTATTCTTACAACAACCTTCATGAAATGGCTATGATTATTCTCATGTTGCATATGTGGAAACTGAGCTTATATGGGTGGAAAATTAACTTTAGATTAAGCATGTTATTCAGGTTTATACACTAAGTGGCATTTATATCTTATATCTTATTTGTAAGATATAATTTATATCTTATATCCATGCTTCAGAGTCTGTACTCACGACTGCTAGGTTATTCCATTTCCTTCTAGAAACCAGTCTGTTCTGTCAATAAAATCTCTGATTCTTTAAGGGTAGTTCCCTACTTCCAGCAGACAACTAAGAGATCAATCTCCACTACTCTTGGGGGTTCCTGATAGTCATTATAACACAGTAAATAGGAAATGCTTATTAATTGTTTCAAAGAAGTGTACCACATTTTCTTGAGTTAAAACAATCTACATTTCCAAAGACCAAAGATATCTGTAAACCTAATAATATATAAGGGGAATAAATTCTTTCAAGAACCATACTTCCTGTTAGGATAACCAACCAAATGGCTCTTGTGCTAGGCCATTCCCATATGTCCCATTAAGATTTTTTTTTAAGTCATCTCTATGCCCAATGTGGGGCTCAAACTCATGAGCCTAAGATCAAGTGACCCACCTCCTACTCAGCCAGCTAGGTGTCCCCCATTCTTAAGATGTTTCAAAGTGCTATACATTTTAATGCTTAGGAATACTGGGAAGGGTTCCCCCTCTCCCCCACTGTAACAAAACAATGCAAGGTGGGAAAGAAATCCTTGGTTCATTCATAAGGGGGCTCGATCTATATATATAGCTTTCTTTTTTTTTTTTTTAAACATAGAACAGAGGAGTATTTGATTCATGTCTTTTTCCATGTTCAATAACCTCATACTCAGGGTGGTTTTCATTTTCTACCTCTATCAGGAAGTCTGCAAAGGAGAGTTTATGAGCACTTTGATGTCTGTTAAGAAAATGTAGAAAGTGCTAATAACATGGGAGGATTGACATATAGTAGGATAGTAGGCACCTATTACGTTTGTTGAATGCTGAAAAAACTTTCCTGTTCTTGAAGTTAATACTTCTGCTCCCACATTTTCTCTTCTAAATAAATGTAGGGGTGCCTGGCTGGCTCAGTCAGTAGAACATCTGACTCTTGATCTCAGTGTCATGAGTTTGAGCCCCACGCTGGGTGTAGAGATTACTTAAAAAAAAAAAAAACCTGACAAAAAATGTACAAATACCAAGATATTTCTAGGTGAATTAGATCCTCTTCAGTTACAAAATAGAACAAGTTATATAACAAGATAAATTTCATAAATTGGGAGTTGTACAAGCTCTTTTCTGCTACTATTTCATTCATCCAAAATTCCCTTCATTCCAAAATGTCCTGAAAATATTATTATTAAACTAGCCTATCTTTTCCTCCACTGCACAAAGACATTAAAGTTAACACTGTTCTAGGGGCGCCTGGGTGGCTCAGTCAGTTGAGCGCCTGACTCTTGGTTTCGGCTCAGGTCATAATCTCAGGGTCCTGGGATCGAGCCCCAAGCCCTGTGTCTCCCCCTCCCCTTTGCCCCTCCCCCTCCTTGCCCTCACTCACACATGCTCTCTCTCTCAAAAAAAAAATAAATCTTTAAAATCAAATCAAATCAATACTGTTCTTTATTATTCATAATTACCAAGCAGGTAAGTGCCTCTGTCATTTTATTCTGGGGCTCTTTTCCTGGTGTTAGAAAGATTGTAAGTGATGATTTCAGATAATCAGTTGTTCCCCTCTCTCCTACTTCATGACAAATGATGGGATGCATGTTGGTTTGACTAGTTTTTTGACTGAAATGACTAATCACAATCATTGGTTTGGCCAAACTCAGCAGTCAATCCAGTTACACTGCTGCAGATACCAGTTTGGGGTACATCTCCAATGCATAGTTCATTTGGGCACAATGCCCTTTTCATCTGGTTGAATGACTCATTTTGAATACTATGTATAAAATTTTGGTCAATATTGCATTTAAATTCATACGTAGGATCTGTATATGTGCTGCCGAAGCGAGCACTATACGTAGGATCTGAATAAAAATAAATCAGACTCCTGGAATGGCTATTGAATGGCACAGTGTGAGAGAAAATCTAGGGCTGAGAATTAACGATTAGCAGGTCTTTCTGTTTCAGTTTCCTTACAAAAATGGAAAACAATCATTCCCAAATTACTTTTTGAGAGTGCTGTAAGGACTGGACTAACTAGCTCCCATTCTGTCTCCAACTCATGGGCCACTCCCACAGGATCCATTCTCAGCGAGCTGAATGAACTGCTGCTCTCCTGAATGTTGGGTTTCTCCAAATCTCGGATTTCTGGGAACGTCAGTCCCTCCACCTGGACTTTTATCCCCAAGTATGTTTCCCTGGCCAGATCTATGTCAACCCTTGGGATTCATTTCAACCACTATTTCTGCTAGGAAGCCAATATATCTCTTACTAGGCAGAATCAGATGCTCCCATATTTTCTGCTCCTCAAACTCTGTACAGACATCTATAAAAATATTGCATAATGTGCTATATGGCTGCCCAACGGGTGGGCTGTGTGTAAACCCAAGGCAGCAACCAGGTCTTATTTTTATTGCTATCTCCAGGCCTCAGCAGAATGGCACAGAGCATGCATTGCATATTTGCTGAAGGACTGAATGCTTTTAAATATTTGGAGATAGAAAGTACTACATGTATAATAATGACAGGGCAGTTTTTTAAGAGAGAGGGTAGAAGAGTATCAGAGCCAGGCTGTTGACTTGATTCACATGTTTCAGTAACAGAAAAAGAGCTGAACAGATGTGAAAGTTGTGGAAATCACCAAAAGGTAAACAATTGCATTTGGCTAAAGAAATTGAACATAGGACCAAACAGAACTTTAAATGAGACAGTCTGATTTCATTTTAAGGGATGAATTAAATAAAGGAGATAGTACCCCCATGTCTAGGGGCATACATGAGTGTCCACATACATACTCTTACACATCAAGTATAATACTACGCGCTCAGATGTTGATGTGCTCAGCTCTGTCACGTGAGCAGGGAGCTGCCTCTCCAGCATATGCTTAGGGGTACTGGTTCCCAATCCTGGGGGTGATATAAGGCTGTGGGCATATCTGGAGTATGGTTGGCTGTGCTGCCTGTGCATTTTTCCCTCCAAGCAACATGTCTTGCGTGACTTCTATACTTGTTGGCTTTGTGAGCTATTTTTTTTTTTTTTAAGGCAGAAAAATATCACTGCTATGGCATTGTTGACTTCAGTCTAAGGGAACATGAGAACTCTCCTGGGACTTGAAATAAGCCTGGCTTTGAGCAAAGAACCCATGAAGGGTAGAGAGGAAGAGTGTGCCCTTCGCTGGTAGTCATGGAGCTAGGTATAAACCTTGCATTGGCCCTAACTTTTGGCAAGTTTCCAATCTTCCACTTGAAACAGACAGGTAAATAAGTGAATTTCATGATCACTATTATCTCTTTTGAAAGGGAATTAAATTTTAATTCTAAATTTTAGTTTAGTTCAGTTCATTTGAAAGAAAATATGTTAATATCTATTCAATAGATGAAAATGTAAAACATTTTAATGAGAAATTCACTTTTTCAATAGACCCATTTGATCCTAAGAATGTAAGCTCCCTTAAGTCAGGGACTGGGTATATCTTCTTTAATGTTGCCAAACACTGTGTGGCCTCTATGGAATAAGTATTGGTTGGATGAATAATTGATTAATAAGAGGAGTTTCGATTTCCTATTTTAATTAGGATCCACTGTCACCGTGACAGAGATACCCAACTCTGTGGGACAAAACAATGCCAAACCGTTTTATGCCAGTATTCTCCACCATGCTTTACACATAGTAATTGAACGGTGGATTGGAGGTTTCCTCATGCATCTAAAACAACAACTGAATGGACATTCTCCATCAATAAACATATACATTATATGCATATAGTTCGGGCAGTAACTGAGGAGAAAGTCAACACAAAGAAATGTGGGGAGTATATGTAACCCCATTTATGAGGATCTGTAGAGCAAAAGTATGGGAATGTTATTTATTAGAATGCACAGTAGGAACATGGCTTGAAAGAATCTTGTTCAGCCACATTCAAACACTGCATCCCATTCTTGACTCAAAACCCTAAGCATGACAGAGAATGCTTAGAGAAGTTTCAAAGGACAGCCACAAAGATGATTAAAGGGCTAGGAAAGGGGCCTATGAAGGGAAGTGAAACAAATAGGGATTATTTATCCCGGAGTAGACCAGTATGACAAGTGCCCTAATAACAGTCTTCATATATAGGAAGGATTATTCCCTAGAGGATGCTGGCTATGTTTTTTTCTCCACTAAGAGGAAAAGGGGAAATGGGTTTAAAAAATAGCATGAAGAATTTAGGTGAGATGGGGTTGGAACTTTACTTCAAATGAAATATTTTGCCCATATTAACATAGTAAAATTCAGATGGTCTCTTATCTAGGGCTTGGCCATCACCGGGAAATTAAGGGTTCTCTTCAGGTCTTTATAAGTACCTTTGAACATTGTTCTTTTATAGAGTTTCCTTTCAATGCATTCAATAAACACATCTAACACTGGTTTTACCACAACAGCCACTTCCTTACACAGATTTTTTTTTTTTGACAGAGAGAGACACAGTGACAGAGGGCACACAAGCAGGGGGAGTGGGAGAGGGAGAAGCAGGCTTCCTGCGGAGCAGGGAGCCCGATGCGGGGCTCGATCCCAGCACCCTGGGATGGCAACTGAGCCTAAGGCAGACGCTTAACGACTGAGCCACCCAGGCGCCCCCAGATTTTTTTTTTCAGTTGGACTTAGTCAACAGTCTGGCTGCTACTGCTGCATCCACCCGTGAACGTAGACAGGGACGCAGGGAAGGCATGCAGATGGGCTGGCTGACAGAGGAGGACCCGAAAAAGCCACCACAGAAAATGGCCTTAGGGCATGGATCATCTGCTGATGAAGCTAGGTTTGAAGAGAAGGAGAGTAGTAGCTACCGGTTCTAGGAAAACCTTGCAATGCTCAACTGACCAGATGCTGGTCTCCAGGGAGGCCCAGGTATTTTCATTAGTAAGTCACTAGTGGCCAGTCGCAATGCAAGCGTGCGAAGTCACTGTGGAAAGACCAGGCTCTGCGTGGAGAAGTCATTACTTCCAGACGATCTTCAATGTGGAAGCAGTGCGAAATCAATACTAACTTTGAAAATGTCCAATGTGTTGCTTGTCATCATCTTAACTATCTTTTATAAAATCAGGCAAGAGAATATTCTACTTCCTTCAGTGACTATTAAGTCATTGTTATTGGCTTGGGTGAATGAATGCAAATGCACATTTACACATTTGGTGTTTAGAAAAATTTCTCGATGAAAATGAAGTTTTGTCATCTTGCATTCATCAAAGACAATTTTACCATTGCTAAGGGAGTTTAGGTGATCAACAACAATTTTTTTTTCCTCTTCAAGTAAAAACCTCAGATCAGTTCACATGTGAGATTTTCTTTTTTTTTCTTCTTCTTCTTTCTTCCTTTTTTTTTTTTTTTTTTTTAATTCTGAGCACAATTAAAGGTGAGTTAAGGCTCTGGTGGAAATCTAAAGAGCATCGGCAAATCTGAGCACTGCTCAGCTTTTGAATTGCTTTTCTACTCCTCAGTTCTTTTAAATGGTTTTCTATGGCAGGGACATTTTTCTTAATTAGTCACAGCTAATTAGTGTTCTGGCATAGACAAGTAATCAGAAATGTCAGAGCTGCAAGGCTACATCTCCCTAATCCTTTGATAATAATTTAGCCTCCTGGGAGGGCCCCAAGCTGCGGTAAGTAGTGACTGACAATAAGGCAAAATTAGGTGGGCAGCAGACCATTAGGAGAGAAAAAGAAAAAGCACTCCCCAATCCTGCTGAGCACCATCAGGCAACTGACTGCACTGCCAGATGAGGTGCCTGTTTAAGCCTGTGTTGTTAATTAGCTGATTCTACCAGACCTGCCACATATGTCCAGGTGCCTCATGCAAAGATGTGTATTTCTGGGAATGGGCCAAATGACAATTGTGTTTCATGATCACATTTCAGGAACATAAGTAAGAAGTCCACATATTTCTTGAAGATTCTTTTGAATTATCAAAGAAATAAGATCAACACGCTACACTACATTTTCTTGCTGAGTTCCTTTTAGGCAATTAGGCACGCGTATCTCAAGTTTCTCAGGTTTTATAATTCACCAACAGCTTAGATTCAAATGAGGGCCTTTGGCTGCTCTAAGCTGCGTCTGGACTTGCCAAAGCTATTTTGGCACCTACAGTACATCAAAAGTAGATCCTTTTATAAATTCTTATACTTACAAATAATAACTTCACATTAAAATAAGGACTATTAACAAAAACGAACCAGACAGCTTAATTCGAGAGGAGAGGTTTTAAAAAGAAACAAACTTTGAGGGGGAAAAAAAAAATAGTTAAGGAGCAAGCTCTGTACGGCATTTCCTGAGGCAGGCGAGGCAATCCACGGAACAAGTTTGACTATGACTATCTTAAAAAGAGGTCAAATGATTTCAACGTGAGTCCAAATTCTGTAGGTAAGACAAACCAGAAATTCAGACAATGGAAAAAAAAAAAAAAACTAACTAAAAACACCAGGGAAACAATGTGTCACAGCAGCTAAATAACACAGTGTTAAAGGTAACACAGATCACAAACAGAGATCAAACTTTTTATCTCCCTTTGGTACACAGTGAGGTACCAGGGTACATAACATCACCATGTTTAGAAAACACATTATCTCAACTAGCCTCTAGTACATCGCTGGACTTACATTATCCATCCCTTTCTATTGATGAAGAAGGAAAATAATGGTTATGACACAAGAGCAATATTAACCTTTAATTTTGAGTGTTGATAGGAAAATCATGGTTGGGCATAATGGCCCAACAGTTAATGTCTGACATTTGAATTATTTTAATATAGAGACACCACCAAAAAGAAAATCCTCTGTAATGGGAATCTACACTAATTTATGTAGTTTATGTAACAACTTCCTAGTCATTTGAAAGTCAATGATTATTCAAAAGAGGAAAACTGCTATTGTTAAATTGACATTCACATATAAGAGAATGTACCTATAATATCCTAGAATTATAAGAAATGCAGAAAGACAAAGAAGTGTTCAGTTTTATTGGGCTGCAGCCTGCATTCCCAATAAAGAGGCTGATTACACACACAAAGAAATTTACCCAAAGGAAAGGAAAGTTGTATCTAGCAGCCACTCTTACCCATGCTCTGTTGATTTCAACTACTCTCATGAAATCAACATGATAATAAATTGAATCTTTAAATAAGTTAAGAAGAGTAGTGTTGATCTTACTGAGGCTGAGTCACAAAGTTTGGTCACTGATGTGAAACACTACACTCAAAAACTCTGAGCATTTGGGAGTCCAGAGACAAAGGCACAGATATGGAAAATGAGCTTTATTTTGAGAAACATATTCTCTTGTAATAGGTTCAGTTTTTTATATCTTAAAATTCATATCATATCTTAAAATTCATATTCATATCTTAAAATGGGTACTGAACTCATTTAGATAGTTTAGGTCAATTTTACTCAAAGTGTTTAATTTAGAGTTTCTTTACTGAAAAGAATTCTTTTCAAGGAAAGTTCTGAGAAATTAATCCTTTATAAAACACTATTTAGATGAATATAACTGATTAACTATCATTTAAAGAATTACTCTTAATTTTATAAGACATCACAACAATATTTTTAAAAAGTCTAGTTGAGATGAAACTCTTCAACAATTAAATATTTAATCAGTTTATAACACGAGAGAATGTTTAATCTGCATGATTTACCAATTAAATACTGCACCCTGATGTGTCTTCAGCAACATGATAGCTGAAATGGAATTGTTTCAAAGGGACTCAAGAAGGGCAATGCCCAATAAATGTACAAAGGTTTAGAGAAGTGGGTAGGTTTAGTGTATATCCTGGACAGTAAGATATATTTCAGTCAACCCCTAACTACCTCCATCCAGGCTGTGATATTCTTGGACATTATGAAATGACCACAGAGGGTGCTCTTGGGCAATTACTGCAGATGTCAGTTTTGACTTTGGAAACATCACCATGGTCCAACCCAGAGATGCAAAGCCCTGAAGGGACTGCCCAGCCTCTCTCCTGACACATGGGCACCAGTGGCTGCCACTGTGTGTCCGGAGGCCTGAGTGTGCAGGAAGAAACATCACAGTAGACATTAAAAATGGAATTTAAGAATTGGAAAATCTAAAAAAAAAAAAAAAAAAAAAAGAATTGGAAAATCATTGTCATACTTCTGGATTGGAATCCTACACGAGTTGTAGATGGTTTTGATTTGATAAAAACTATGAAAGGTTGCTGACAACTAAGTTTTATATATAAGAAAAAAACACACTGGGGTAAGAGAGATTGCATACAAAACAGAAAAACCTTTGGGTGAATCCATGATCTTACTACAGGAGAACTTCCTTAGGATTTCTCTTATCCAGAGAAGACACATTTTTCTAAACCGAAAATGTAAATTTAACATGTAGATTTTAAACATAGCATGTGTAACAGTGACCATTTGAGAGGAAGAGAAGGTCTCTGTTTAAAATATTCTGGTCACTCAGAAAGACTTTGCATGAATACGGAATAGATGAGTTCCAATTAATTTTCTAAATTTGGGGTTCAGAGCCCTTGTGGTAGATACATAGAGTGTCATATGGCACAGCTATTTTTATTTTTTTATTTTTATTTATTTTTATTTTTTTTAAGATTTTATTTATTTATTTGAGACAGAGAGAATGAGAGAGAGAGAGCACATGAGAGGGGGGAGGGTCAGAGGGAGAAGCAGACTCCCTGCCGAGCAGGGAGCCCGATGCGGGACTCGATCCAGGGACTCCAGGATCATGACCTGAGCTGAAGTCAGTCGCTTAACCAACTGAGCCACCCAGGCGCCCGGCACAGCTATTTTTAATACAGAATCTCTTTTCTACCTTATCTATTGCACTTGTTATTGCTTCATGGGTGGGATACCCTGCTTTCACTCAGCCATGACAAAAAAACTTAGAAATTGCTACTGTGGGGTGCAAGACTAAGCATTCAACCGCCCACTAATTTTTGTCACCACTGCTAAAATTAAAATGAATTTAACTTAGTTGGTTTAAAATCTGGAAGATATTTCAATAACCGTCTGGAATTCTAGACCAATTTCTTCAGTTTATATGTACTAACTCTACTGTGTCCTGGGCAGGTGACACAACTTCTTGAAACTCATTCTGACAATCCATGGCGGAACTGTGGATGGAACTCAGGTTTGTGGATTCCTGGCCCAGATTTTATAAGTCTAAAGTATGGTAGGGATAGCATAGACTTTGAAATTGGAGAGACACAATTTCAAAGTCTGATTCAACACTCAACAAGTCACTTCATCTTCTCTGAGTGGGAAATTCCTTAACCTGAAAATAAGGACAAATGGGGATGATGGCATCTGGCTCAGCAGGTTAGAAATGATATGAGTGAAGCACCGAGCCCATTGCCTGGTACACGGAGGTGCCGTGGGAATGGTGGTGGTGACAGCTGGGGCTGGGATTACTATTTTGATAATTGGAGAAGATGAGCGATATACCTTAAAACAAACTCAGTTCCTTCTATGAACAGCATGAATCCGCCATCGTTTAGACTTTTTAATAATATTTCTGTTATGCAAAAAACGTTTTAGACGTTTAACCACTTATGGAATGAAGTAGAACGTCTTGGTTATTTGTCCTGATATTAATTTTTTTGATCTTCCAAAGGTATGTTTAGCTTTACTATTTCAAGATTTAATGTAGAAGCCTAAGATTATCCTATGTAGGGCCTTGAATATAATACAAATTTTAATCCTCCCTCTCTTTAAGACTTTGGAGATAAGGAGCAAAAACACTTTTCATGGAGGCCAGAACGATAATAATAGCTGAGTGAGCTGCTCAGGACCTGAGTGATGGCTTTTGGTTGTATATGGACGACTGTAGGAGGTACCATTCTCCTTTGTAGGTGCATCCCAAAACAATGGACACAAATCTAGGGTAATGGTCATTATTTGGCCTTAGTCACTGGTATAGTTATTCAAATAGAACTCTAAAGTATTTCACTATAAATATCAGGAACAATTAAGATGCTTAATTGATCAAAAAGTTTTTGAGGTCAGAAACACCAGAACTAATTGCTACTCTCAGGGAAAGTTTGCCAGAATTTTCAATAGTTTTTTTCCATGAGTGGAGCATCATGCAGAAAAAAAGATTACTTAGTAAAACACGCAAGTGTTAAAGTGTTGCTACTGGAGGCAGGATGAATATGTGACTTCAGAATAACTGTTTGATATAAAACTGTTGCAATTTGTGGTATTTCAAAAACTCAGTGAATCTCATTTGGGTTAAAAGGCTGTTCTTCTTAAGGAGTGAAGCTCTCATACTGCATGACAGAAACTGGATCCCCTATACCCTTATCTGGGTTGGTTAAACCACTAAGTGTTGATTCACTGTAGGGCATAGGCACGTATGTGTGTGCACATTTTCCTTTGCATCTGAAGTTAGGAGTCTCTGTTTCCTTCCATTCCTTTCCTTTCCTTCTCTTTACTTCTTATTTTAATTGGAATAGCAAAAGTTTGTCATGATGCCTGAGTAAAATTGTTCTCTTCAATCTTTTTTTTCTGTAATAGACTAAGGTTGCCAACAGTATTTATAGGGTCATTATTTTCAACTGTTTCTTGACACCTAACAATATTATTTTAAGCTCCAGCAGATTTCCAATAATTATATAATGTCTCTCAGTAATGATCTGTTGCTTAAGATACACATTCTGCTTTACCTTTCAACACATACTTGATAACCTCTCATTTACTAACTATAATTGAGGCAAATTCAGTCTTGGCTAATTAGGGGCTCTTAGTACCCCCTCATATATGTTATTTTGGTGACATATCAATAGAACTAGGGTCTCCTTTTTATTTTTAATTACAGTAATAAAAATGTGCAATTTAAAAATATTAGAATGTTTAAGGACATTATTACTATTTTACAAATAATAAGTCCAGTGTTCTACTGGGGATATGCAAAATGACAAAACCTTCACAACCAAAACAGAATTGCTTGTCAGACGTTCCTTTCAGAAGCAAACTTAGCCATCAGACGCTTAGGTATCAAAGAAAAGTATACCTAACCAGGACAATTAAACTAGACATAATTTTATGTGTGTGTGTGTGTGTGTTTTTTTTTAAGTAAGCTCTACACCCAACATGGGGCTTGAACTCACAACCCTGAGTTCAAGAGTTGCATGCTCTATCAACTGAGCCAGTCACGCTCCCCGAAACTAGACATAATTTTAATGTTGGCCTCCTTGCGTCCACTTCAGTTAGCTCCATTGGTTAGTGGTCACACAAAAAGTCTTTGAAAAAAGTTTGGTGAATGGGAGGGAGTTAGTGTAGGTAATATCTTGATAAAGAAATTCTACCTCTGTTATGAACTGATGGCAAGCTTTGTAGTAAATAGGTCACCAAGACGAAAAACTGAAGATGTTAACACACACACACACACACACGCACACACACACACACACACTCTCTCTCTCTCCTATGTACAATGGCCTATTTCCAGATGAGTCTACCTTTTCTCATCATAGAATACATGCTTCAGCTATACCAAGAATAAACATAAAGGGAATAACATCAATCCGATTTTCCTATTCTGTTCAACATTTCTGAAAATTACCACATAAGCAAAAAAAAGTAAAAGAGGATCTGGAAGTAAAACATATGCTTGTAAATTCAGAGCAATACCAAATGGAAGCAGAAGTTGCTAATATGGTTTCAGTATTTTGTAAAACAGCCAGCTGGATAGATGATAATTTTTCTACCCCTGCAGGGCATCAAAGCTTTTAGGAAATCATTCTTTTCACACATATTAACACTTAGCTTATTAAAACAGATGATACTTTTATTGTAAAACAGCCTGGGTAGAGGCCCGAAGCATACAATCTGAAAGGGAAGACTCATTTTGACCACCCAATCTGACGAACAGTGAACACTGACACAACAGACCACGAGAGAGGATGACGCAGCAAGACCTTCTGTACCTGCCGCAGCTGAGTGTCACCACGAAGCCCGTGAATTGCTGTTATGAAAACATTTGCAGTCACTTGCATAATTAAATGAAACTGCCAGAAAAGCATTTCTAAAATGCAGGGGAGATGCACATAAATACATACAGTTCAAAGCAAATATTCCATTTCAGAATCAGCACTGTGCTGAGTTATGTGAAGTTACATCCCAGCAAAGTCCCATTTCCTTTGACTTGACTGTTAAATAATTACAAATGAGTGACAACATTGTGATTGAAATGGATTGCTCTCTGAAGTTTCCTTTACAGATAAATGAAACTTAATGATCATGCTCTCTAAAACCACAATCCCCCATTGCTAGGAGTTGCCATGGGTAAATGAAGACTTCTGTCCTGATAAAACTTCAGGGTTCTATTGTTAGCGTGCTTCAGTGCTGTAAATCAAGATAAAAAAATGCTCAAGAACAGTAGAGTGGCAGGTATTTGCCCTTTACTGCAGCTTAGGTCTTTGTTTGACTAAAGAGCACTGTATTGACTCAAAAAACTTTTATAGGAAGAGCCAAATCCATTACAACATGATTCTGTTTATGGAATGCAGCAAAGGCGAGTGAAATGATGCTGTGCACAATGGTAAACCGGTTATCATCCTGCTTGTTAAAATTAACCTTAGAAGGTTTTTGAGACTCTCATTCTAACACTGACAGTTTTCATGTACAAAAGAAGCCAATTAAGGCTTCTGTCAACAGTCAGAGAAATAAAATTATAAACTATATTAGCGGCATAGAAGAAAAAGGATCAGAAAAGGAGTTTGCTTTACAAACATACCATCAAAATGCAATTTTTTCCTGCACATATTTCTATGATGCCAGGAAGCCTTGCAAGGGCAGTTACTTACATCAAACAGCTTTTCTATATACATTTCCTCATTGATCTTTTCTCGAAGAATATCCTGGTTTTGCCGAACAAACATAATATAGGTGTCTGCCAGATCCATTCCTGGTTTCTGTTGTGGGGGAAAAGCATGGGGAATAAAATACCAGGTCTCAATTGTGAAAACACCATTTAATCACAACCTTAGAAAATAAGTCACTATATCATTTCAAAAGTTACATTAGTAAAATATGCTCAAGACCAAAATCGACAATGAGCATCTTCAGTAAATTCTGTAATTAAAATAAAGTTTATTATTGATGTATGTAACTTGAGGTCATAGTTATTCATCATTACTAAAAGGAGTAGAGACATGTGGTTGTAAACTACCAGATATCTTTTTTCTTTTTTTTAAAGATTTTATTTATTTATTTGACGGAGAGAGAGACAGCGAGAGAGGGAACACAAGCAGGGGGAGCGGGAGAGGGAGAAGCAGGCTTCCCGTGGAGCAGGGAGCCCGATGCGGGGCTCGATCCCAGGACCCCAGGATCATGACCTGAGCTGAAGGCAGATGCTTAACAACTGAGCCACCCAGGTGCCCCTAGATATCTTTTTTCTTTAAGGGCTATCTTGAAAGGTTAATATGCCAAGTATAAATGAATGCATTTTTTAAAAAAGTCCCCACTTGAAATAATCATTTCCTAATTGCCAATATAATTTATTGTCACTATCTCTGGCTGGCTATCCATATATATTAAAAACAAAAATGTTAGTTTTCCTTAGATTGCCTTCCTCAATTACTCCAGGTGCTCAAGGCATATAAGCTAAATTTTCTTATTAATTTGAGTAAAATATTAGGAAGATATTGGGCAAAAAATTTAATTGATTACAAACTGAAATGTAAACCAAAATTTTGAGGGTTATCCATTGCTTCTATTCATTCCTGTTTATCAATACTATTTCAAAGATCTATTTTATTTTAGAAATACAATAAGAATATTGATGAACCAATTTCCTAAGAGGAGTCTAAAGCGTGAATGAGATAACTTTCCAAAGTTATCCAACATCTGGTGTCTTGTAATGTTAGAGCAGATAGGGTCCAGTCTACAAAAGCAGTACCAGGAAGGGACAAAAACCTGAATGGCTTCTAAAGAGTTTCCTTCTGGACTTATCTTTAGTTCTTTTTTGAGTTTCAAATAGCTAGACTAGTTAATAAAAGTACTCATTTGAATGACCTACACTGGGGTTGATTCATAATCTGTACTGAGTTATTCATTTGATTAGAATATGGCATTAGTAATAACAAAATGGTAGAACTGATGCCCAAATGAGTCAGTCTTGTATCATTTCATATCCATAGAATGTACTTATAACCTCCATCAACAGACTCATTTTGCTAAAGTAAATCTTGCAAAGAAATGAGGTGAAAGAGAATTTAACTATTATCACTGCAGGAAAAACAAGGCATCCCTCTGAGTGTTGTGGTAGTGCTTCTCCTTAAAAGAAGGACAAAACGTTCTTTCTGCTTTCTTTGGTGGGGGAAGTATATTTTATATACAATGACAAAACTACTCATCTCTTTACCAGTAGTGCACAGTATAGGCAATGAATATCTCATTAATAAAAACTGATTTGATTTTTTGGTAATGAAGTTATTTCTGGGTAATGAGAATCACAGGAAGCTCTTACTGCTCTCATTTTTGGCCTACAGGGAAATATATACCACATAAATTCAAGGATCCTTTCAAACATGACCCAATGTAACAAACTTAGTTATTAGTTATAATTTGAAACAACTACTTAAATGTCTTCACTGGTCTTTCCTTGAAGAGCGTCCATATACAATGTAAGGAGTATGTTTCAAACCTTATCAAATTCATTCCTTCACTATTTTTCTACATAATTCTCTTAAGCAATGTTTGAGAGTTTAAATAAAATGACAAGGCTAACCAAGAGAGAAACCTAGGTTGTTTCTTCTTTTTTGGGGGGAGAGGGGAGGTGTTATAGATCAGTTTTTCCAGTGAAGAGGCAGGGTAATTTGCACAAAATTTACTACTATTAATACTTGAAGACAGCTAACCCATAAGATAAGTACTTCTCTCCATGCTTCTCAAACTTTGTCAAAACACCAACAAATGAGAACATTCAGAAAACATACTGCCACTGAATGAAAATGACAAGAGAACACTTTTCTATGTATAATGGATAGTGTTCAGGAAGGTAGCTCAGCATCTGAGCTTCAGTCAGCTGCTTGGAAACAAACTACTAATGATATACATAATATCAAGGCAGTTGGGCACGGCTTGGCTAAACTGGGACTTAAAGAACATGCAAAGGAGAGGCTTGTCTTCTCTACCATTTCCCCCCCTGCCAACCTTATTTTTATTTCTTTCAACAGAAGAGTAGGCTTACAAATTGAATCTAGTCAATCACTTGACCCATCAGACTCATTGGAAACTAAGCTATAGCTGGGAGGACTGGGGAATAGGGACTTTAAACACTTGCCATAGATTCTAAGGTCTTTTGTCCTGTTTCTTTGATCCCTTTCAAGATAACATTCGACATAATGAAACCCCATCCAGGAAGAGTTTATCTTCTAACATCTAAAGCTAACAAACACTTTACAGTTTAAGCCTAAAAGAAAATTAAATGCTGTTCCCTTAGGCAGACCCAAGGGATATGATACTGAAATCTGTAGGTTGAGACCGTCTACACTTCCTAAGGAAGTAAGAATCTCTGGTTGAGGGTGTGAAGCCAAGCTCATTTAAAAGTTTATTTCAACAAAATTAAGTGCTTATCTTTTTTTTTTTTAAGTTATATTTTCTCCCCTTTTGGCAAATTAAGATCCACTTGCCTGGAAAACAAAACCTTGAATTCTTATATTTCTCATTAGCATTATTTCTTTATCTTTGAGCTGTTTACCTATTCTTGAAACTGTGACATATGGGAATTTCACACCTAGTGAATATATTTTCATGTAGCTGTGGCATGAGACTATAATCATTAAAAGAATATACACAAGTAAGAATAACTGCAACAGTTGGTGACATTTACCAATTAGAATTATAGTTCTTTATCCTTCTTTTAGTGTATGAAGGGTAATTATCTCTGATAAATTGCTGAAAAAGATGTAATTTTCCTTTTAAACAGTTTCTACTTACAGTACAAATGTGTTTGGATAGAAGACATTATCACTGGTTCAGCGCTTCTTTGTGCAAAGACTCTGTTTTATGGCAGTAAAATTTACATACTTTGGAAGTCACTGCATCTAATTTCATTATTACATGTTATGCATTTAATTTCAACATTACATGGTCTCTTATTAGGAAATGAAGTTTTGCTAAAAAGTAAAAACTGAACACTTGTTTTTTTTTTTTTTTTTGGTGTGTCAATGAATGGGATGCACGTGACTGCTTGGCAGAGACAACGAATTGCTACATGTGCTGGTGCAGGTGGGTGTCCACTGGCCTTAGCGAAGCAGACATCTGGTAAGCTTCAGGAATTGTCGATTTGGATGAGTTTTGTTTTGTTTTGTTTTATCAAGAATATTGTGTTCTAGAGAGCTATATTTAGAAATCTTTTCTGTATTGGTAATTATAATTTTCTTAACGAATAGGAGAGAAGAACAATTAAAAACCACGTAGCAAGCACTCTATGGATTAAATGCCACTTAGAGTCAGTGTTTTTTTTCATTCCCCCATTTAAAGCTCTGAGATCCTTGGTTCACCATGCACTAACTCCTCCAACTTGTTTATTAGGATAGTAATCTCTGAATCAAAATAGGAATTCTCAAATTCTAATTTGATTAAAAAAAAACAAAATTGGGCCAACAAAGTTATAGTAAAAGGACACAAACATCTAAAAATTTCCCCCCTGAGCAACAAGAAATCAATAAATGTGGAAGGAAGTGAAGTACGGTCAGGTGAGTGCCCCTGACACTTGCTGCCGAAGTAACAGAATACACCAGTGAGTGAATAAGTTTAGGTAAGGGTGCAGGCTCCAGCAATTTTTTTTCAGCCATTAATCACTAGTTAACCTAGTGAGATGAAAATGCTGTTGAGAGAAAAAAATTCCTTGTTAATTATACGCTGCAAATGCTCTGACTTCCTGCTGCTACACGTAATCCCACAGGTGCAAGTCTTCACTCTCCCCATCCATGGGTAGGTGCGTGCAATGCTGCAGTCAGTTTGCACAGCAACGGATTTAGATGCAGAAGAAGCCGCTTAACCTTCCACGGGAGGTTAACAATACACTATGCAAACACTGTCATGGTGTCTATTTAACAAGGAGACAATTTTTTAAATATACTATTCCAGTCTCAAAGATGAACTAGAAGCTGCAGCATAATTGACTTAATTTGAAAGTGCACTTCTCATAACCTACAAAAGCTTGCCTTGAAGAAATGATCAAGAGTGGAACTGTGCTATCCTGGTTTATGATAAGCTGCACATATGAATCTTGTGAGATTTAAAACAACTGCAGGTCTCCTCAGTTCGAAATTGTAATAACAATTTCTATCTCAGCTCCAGCATTGCAGATTCAGAAGTAGTCTGTAATTGATCATCAGGGAACACAGGACATAATTCTACAAACACAGAATTTATCCCATGTATTTTTAACAATAATACATATCTTTCTTTCACTGTGTAATACATGCTTTATTACTTTGGCATTCATGCAGCAATTTCTACAGTTTTCCATCTGAGTGAAAACATTCTTAAAGCTTTTCAAAAGCATTTGCAGTAGGTTAAGTAGATTATATATTCTCAAAAACCTAAAAAAATAGGTTTGAGTATACCTATGATGATTAGGTTGTAAAAATATGTATTTTACCAATTTTGTACAAAGTAGAATAATTATATTGTATTCACATAGAAAAGCAAAAGGAAATAAACAGAACTAAAGCCTTCAAACTAGATTTATCCCATCTTAAATATTACAGAAGCTCAGGAAGAGGAATAATTCATAAAAGTGGCGGGGGGGGGAGGGAGAGAAATGTGAACAATGAAACCGTCACAAGGATATAAAGTTTTCAAGATTTTCTAATAGTTTAACTAACTTTTTTAAGAACAATGAAAACAATTTCATTGTTCTTAGGAAACAAACCAACAAACCAACCAACCCTCCAAACTA